CCAGAGTTTTCCCCTTGCTTCTCCAGCTACTAAGATATTGTCGAGCATGTAGTAGTGGCGGCGTATGCTTCGCACGAGCCGAAGATATGCCGCTACCGGGCTTGCGCCGGTTGCACAGCTGCTTCCCGCAAGCGGGATCTGACTGGCGCAGTTGGTTGCCTCTAATGGCGAACCAGAGGGGGTGGGGGGGTGGGAGAAGGGGAAGCAGGGGGTCCACCAAATGCAGTGGGACGAAGTGCATTTTCAAAAAAGCACTTGGTCAGCATCAGGATGTTGGCCGCTCCGTTCACGTCGCGGTTGACGACGTTGACTTTGCAGCCCTTGTTCGTGCACCGCTTGGTGTCCCACACGTCCACCAGCTTCTCCTCGCCTCGGCGCACCCGCACGTACTGGTGGGCATGCAGGGTGGCGTGACAGGCGCAACACAGCTTTGATGACCTGTGCTCGTCCACCACCACCACCCTGCACACCCGCCGCAGGCGCCGCAAGAAGCGGATCCAGGGCCCCGGCGGGGGCCCCCGCATGATGCCCCCCCGGTCCTGGGCCGAGCAGTTGCCCACGCCGACGATGGTAGTCATGCCCGGGGGGGCGCAGAACTGCTCTGCCAGCTGGGTGATGGCCCGCTCCCTGCCGATGTAGGCCTGGTGGCGCAGCTTCCGGAACGGCTTCTCGTCCCTGTGCCAAGCCAGGCCCTGTCGCAAGGTGGGGACGATCCACGCGACCCGCGATAGGAGCACCTCTGTGCTCGCTGTCTTATAGGTCGGGCACCTGCGGGAAGGGGGGGGGTGGGGTTGAGCAAGAGGGTTGGTACAGTTGGAGCGATGCGGGGTGTCGTGACACAGTGCCTGCCCCTGTGGGGCATACCCCTGCATTAACTCCACAACCCAATCACCACTCACTGGTGCAGCTTCTTGACATAGGGTGGGGCCTTTGCGTGCCACTTTGCGATGGTCTTCTCCCGCCGCTTGAACCCCGACATGGAGTGGAACTCCTTTGATGAACAGGATGTCACGTTGGCGTGTTCGTCCACCGCGGTGAACATCTTGGTCCGGCCGGGGTCGATGCCGACATACAGGTGTATCTTGGCATCCTCTGGCGGGCGGTCCCGCCTGCAGATGTGTGTATAGGGGGGTGGTGGTATGGGGTGAGTCATGTTGTAGGAGCGCGGCACGTGTGGGTGGTTGGCGGGTGAGTGGGTAGTTGCGTAGGGTGGCGCACTTCGCTGCTGGTGTACACCACATCCACAGTCACTGCCAGAAACGGAGCAGCCAACACCCCCGCACCACTCGCAAGCGTCCCAGGCAATCACTGCAGCATGTCGACAAGCCAGGAGAGCCATCCCCAGCAGCACACACCCCAATGGTACAGTCACGGACCACTCACCGGTAGTATTCGTCGGCGATTCCCCTGCCCTGCGGGGCGCCCAGGGGCGCCCCGCCGCGGGTGCGCTTGCCGCTGGTCTTCGGGGCGTCGGGGGGGCGGGGCGGGGGGTCGCCGGGCCGGGGAGGCCCTCTCGGCCGCCGCAGGGTGACGGTGACGCTGTAGCCATTCGTCCTCCAGTGCCCCGCTGAGTGCCAGCCGCAGCCCTCGAAGCGCCGAAAGTTAAATAGGAGAGCAAAGAAGGCCCAGCCGATGTGGACAAACCAGTCCGTCTTCGTCTCGTCCATCTTCTCCGTCTTCTTCTT